AAGAAAAAGAAATTCATGCCTTTTACTCAATCAATGTATCATCTAACGTATACCTTTTGCAAAAACCATGCAAGTTTACTTTCTTTTTCTTTTTTATTTTCTCTTTTCGTGTTTGTTTCTTTTATACTTAATTATTCTAATCGTGTTTGGAAATTGTTCTCCATAGGAGAATTAAGATACCATGCTTCAACACACACTTTTACAATGGAAATTGGCATGCCACTGACAATAATAATCTTTACTCGAAAATATCACAAACAAAATGCCTAAACTGTTGTTCTAAAAATGACATGCTCTTCTTCAAAATGAATTCTATTTTCTAATACGACTCATGCTAGAAAAAATAAAATCATGACGTAGAAGGACGACTCACCTATATTGATGTACAGGGTTTGCTACTGCCCATTTTTGATGATCTCTCGAATGAGCTGCTGGTGGTTGAACATAGTCGTGCTTATATTCAGCTCGTTTTCCTGACCAAGATACTCGTTTATCTGTACCGGTCGTATAAACGATGTGTTGCTCTTGTAGATGAGGATGAGCGCTACTTGTAGTCACATACTGCAATAAGTAGTCATTCACGTCATAGGCGTCATCCTAGAAAGACATTACACAAAATAAAAATTACTAACTGAAAGGAAAGTGAAAACATGAAAGAAAATATCATACCTAATTGTATTATTAATTATTAAATTAAATTGTTAAAGTTAAAGTATATATGCAATGTATTTTAAAGAAAAATTATAATTTAATCATTAAATACTTTATTTTAATGTACTCGTGTAGAGAATGGCATTGTCTGTTGAAACCTGTCATACAGAGAAACAGCTACGCGCAAAATTCAGCAGTGCCATAGAAGTTAATATTCAATTTTGAAAGAAATAAAATATTGTTGTGTCGATGACAACAAAACTAGAAATGAAATATCAAACTAAATACTTTAACGATAAGAATAATGTAAGAATACAGAAGGTTGAATAAAATGAAAATAAAAAATGTTATTTTACCTGATAGGTCGGTGGCTCTTTGCAAGCTGGCGCATGACAAGGATGTGGAGCGACGTACTCAACACCAGGTTCAGATTTAGTTGTAACGCTCACCATATTGCATTCGGATTGTACCTTAGCCAATAATCGTTTCTTTTGGGACTGAGAGGAATAGCCAGAACTACTGCTGCATAAAGAATTGTATTATTAGTATAACGAACAGAATACTTGGTACAAAATGTAAAACATGTATTTCAAAAATCACCTACCTGCTAATGTGATGCTGTTGTTGAGGCTCGTGTTTGATGTGTTGAGTTGTAGTTTGTTGATGTTGCGGATGTTGAGGTACTTGTTGATACAAATGTGCATGGGCTCTGCCTGGACTACCTTCGCCATCGCTATCACCGACCGTAACACAGCTGATAACGTTTTTCCTTTGAGCCCTTTGAGATGAGCTTTGCGATGTTGTATGAAAACTCGTATGGGCTTGCGTATTCGAATGAGCCTGCTGCATCGTTGGTACAACCCTTGGTGTAGATTGTGTACTGTAATTATATAAGGATTTTTCAAATTTCCAAAAATTACAATAAACGATATAATTGCGATATTATTAATAACAAACGTATCATGACGTATTAACCCCTTAAGTTGCACGCTCGAGTTAACTCGAGCAAGTGTTGTATTACGTTGAGGCAAAATTGTTCCTTAAAGGGTTAAACGACTATTCCACGATTGCAAACTTTTTTAATGACAATACTTTAATTAAATGATCTACTACTTATGTTAGCATTCTACTAAAAGCATACATACATAGAAAACTTATAGTTACCTCTAAATTAATAACCGCAAAGATCAAAGCTTATGTATAAATATTATGTCTATGTACGATGAGTGTCAATTGTTTGAAGAATGACATCTAGTTTACAAAAAAAAAATAAAAAAATAATAATAATTGTTATTATGTTATTATAATGATTGTTAGAAAAATTGAATACTTAAAGAGAGTAAAGTAAAAAGGCCAATAATAATGACATTAGATGTTTTATAGTTTATCTCTTATGCAATAGTTTAATGATTCGATGTACCTTCTGATGACCTCCTCACGGACAGGACGTCCATCGCCAGACAGGCGAGTTGCCAAATTTTGACAGGCTCCGCATTGACGATCTCCACAGCTGTCAATGATATCATGCATGACACTACTACAAATTAGCATATACAAGCATATATATAATATATAATCGACAAAAAGAAGGTATTAATTTGCAGGATTACTAATAAGTTTATTGCTAATTAATTATTGATAATATACGATGAACTTATTTCAATTTTTCTTTCCAAACTAAATAATGCAACTGAGAGCTTACAAAAAAAAAAAAAAAATAGGGAAAAAAAAAGATCAAGATAAAAATATGCAAAAACATATCACAAAGATCTATATCTTATAATCATAACAGTAATTATCACAAATGAGCAATCTACTACTCTTTATTAAAAGCAATAAACATAATAGCTTACTATTCTACTTTTACACTTTCTATAAAATGTAAGAGCAAAGAAATCTATATATGATTGAAGAAAAATTATCTACAAACTTACCATTTTTCTGGTGATTCATCCTCACTGTCGCTGATGGTAATAACAGAAACAGCAGGTGAGGGGGTATCATATATGGTGATTGTTGGTTGCCGGACGGATGCAACTTGTTGATGTTCTACGTTGTGACTACTACTGTGTTTGCTGCTACTATGATGATGGGATTGAATTGGTTGTAGCTGCCAATGTCCATTCGAAGGTGAATGTCGTCTCATACTGCTCGGTGGTGTACTCTCTTTCACTCTCTTTTTAACTGGACTCAATTGTTGAGTTTCTTTTTTATGTTCATGCCTGTGCTGACTTTGTTGAGGTACAGTCACATGATGTTGATGATGTTTCGTGACACTACGTTTGCCCCAACTTTGTGGAGGATGTTCAACGAGAGCACTAGCGTTATAAACTTCCGTGACAGGAAATACTGGCCGCTGATCCTTCCCCAAAACAAGGGTAATCAATTAAAACATTGCGTTCGACAAGGTGCATTCGAATAATTCGTAAGAAAAGAAAATAATCATTTGTTTAACGACAAAATCCAAATACCTTACCTGTAATATGGCAGAACTATCTACGATGAGTGGTCTTCCCCAATCTCCAGCGTCGCTTAACAAAGGTTGTTGAATCGCTGCGTGTTGAGGTGGTAATTGTTGCCAAGATGGTACAATTGCAGCCATTTGCCGACTTCCACCAGGCCATGATGTTTGTACGGCATTCTACAAATGTATAATAATATGTATACACACTAATATATATATATTATATGATACGTTATCTTGAAGTAAAGAAATATTTATTAAGATCTTACAGTGAGCAACATTTGTCGTCCGGTTTCCACCATAGATACAGGAACAGCCGCATATTGTTGTTGTGCAGCTACCGCAGCTGCTGCAACAGCCTGCTGCGATATGATCGAGGGTTGGATTTGAAGTGGACCTTGTTGAGCCTGTGGTGGCTATAACCATTAGTTTATATTCAAATACAATAAAGCGTTTAATTATTTAAAAAAGTATCCCAGATGTATGACATTATCAACAAACAAAAAAAAAGAAAAAAAAGAAGAGAGAGAGAGAGAGAAAAAACTAAACAACGACAAAATAATATATTAAAAGATAGATATTTCAATTACCTGAGCAACAACAACGTGTTTAGCTGGACTTGGCATCGTTTGATAGCCAGGAGGTGGACATAATATACCAGGTACTAATTGATGTGAAAAATCGTGAACCGCATTTCGGCCACTATTTGAACCATTAGAAGAACTGCTGTATTGTGTTGCCCGACGACTGCTATTACTATAGATTTGATACTGTAATTTTGGAAATGATAAATCGTATATTACATTTGGCCAAGGACTGCTGATGCTTTCGTACTGTAATAATTTCAAATAATAATTAATATGTTAAATTGGTCCAATAAATGAAAGAACAAAACATAATAAAAATGATTGTTAAAATTGATAATAGTACAAACCAGATTGTCATAGCCCGTTGGAGCAGTGCGATGTTCTCTAACTAAACGTTGCACTTGATTGGTCAGTTGATTGTTGAATGTAAGAGTAACTGCACTACCATTGGTCGTCGGTACAAAATTAGCTACTAAGGATGTGGGCTGGGGTGCTTGGGGAGCAGATGGTGCTGTATGGTGAGCAGGACTCGCTGTAAAATCGCCAGCTCTTCTGCAAACCTCCATCATTTGGACGGAAGCCTTGACACTGTTATAATGAGCATAATCGACCAAATGTGCCAGGGTTACGAAAGCGTGATTCAATGCCTCTCCGGGTGTTATTCGGCGCTCCTATATATATATACATACATACAAAATTGACATTATATTAAAAAAAACTATTATTAAAAATGAAAATGAAATAATTATTATTCGATAAATGTATTTCTTTATATATAAGAAATATATTGATCTATTAGATATTACCACCTGATCCATGGTGAGCATCCTCTTCAAGAGGTCAATGAACTCTTTCCTATCTGCTTTTTCTGGTAAAAGTTGACCACCATCTAAATCAGTTGGTACGTTAACTTGGCCAATATCATCGAGACAATTAAAAATATATTTTCTAGCTTCTTTTGATTTAATTCCAGTTTCCGCCTCGTGTTCCTCAGGTGTTTTTAAACGCCAAAATGGATGGGTACCTAAAATACAATATTTCAATGATTAGATATAACGTTAATAATATATAATCCTCTTATATAAAACAAACAAAGTCATTAATCAATTGGTATTAAATTAATATTATCATACTAACTGTCCATGTCTCGATAAAAAAATTTCGTCGTTTTACTAGCACTATTTAACATATGTTCCGTCGGTAGGCCCTGAGTTTGACTGATGTATCGAATTTGATCGTATTCCGAGCTACCCGGATACAAGGGCCATCCCAAAAACAATTCTGCTACGACACATCCGAGCGACCACATGTCTATAGCTTCACAATATGGAAGTCCAAGAATAATTTCTGGTGCACGATAGTATCGCGATTGTAAATAAGTATTGCAGACTGCCTTTGATACGTGAGATGCAGAACCAAAATCTATGACTTTAACTCGATATGGTTGACGCCCGGGATCCACTAACATGATGTTTTCTGGTTTAAGATCCGCATGTATAAGGCCCAATTGCTAAAAAAGAATAATCAATATGATCATTACAGTATAATAATATGAAATGTAATTATAAATAAATAATTTTCTTGTTTATAAACATACCTTGAGCTTTAATAATGCAGTTAAAACTTGTTGGAGTATCGGCCTGATAAATTTAAGAGGTAGCGGTGAGAATTTATTTTGCTTGAGAAAGTCATAAAGATTTTGTTCCAACATTTCAAACACCAAACAGGTGTGTGATTTATGCTGAAAGCATTCATAAGCGCGCACAAAGTTGAACTCATCCGCGTTTTCCTGACTTAGTCGTGACAGGATGGAGACCTAAATGAGAACGAGAAAGACAGTATATAAATTTAATCATTATAACCTAAACAATATTATAACGCATAAATAATGAAAAGAAATAATAACAATGCATACCTCAATCTGCCCTTGGCGCGCATACGAGGGATGGTTTTTAAGAATTTTGATGGCTACTATTTCATTCGTTCCCTTTTTCCAACATTTTACAACCTAAAAGAAAAGTTAATGAGTAAAGCTTGAGGGCCTCAAAAACAAACACCTAATGACAAAGGTATTTTACATTGTTGTTAGAAGAAAAAAGTAGATAAATTTTACCTGGCCGAACGTGCCCCTTCCTAAAAATTCAAGAACTTCATACTGATTGGCCATAGAGTATAAAACTTCGTGTTGGACCAAATGATAATCTCCATCCCCCTGAGGATTACTTCCACCCCCGCCACCGCCACCACCAGCCCCGTTGGCCGCATTTGTAACTTGTTTGCTATGTGCTGTCATCCCTGCTTGCTTATGTTGCTGTTGTTGTTGCTGTTGTTGCTGCTGTTGTTGTTGTTGCTGTTGTTGTTGCTGTTGTTGTTGTTGCTGCAGCTGTTGTTGTTGCTGGGTATAATGCTGGGACACTATAGTACTACCGACTGTGTTCGTCGTACTGGCGGAATGGACTGCCAGAGTGTCACCATTACCCTCCCTCGACCAAGTTTTTCTCTGTAGGAGGAGGAATACACCTTATACAAAAATTTGTTAAAGTTAACAAATCGTTTTTTAATTATCCCTCATATATCTTTTTTTTTTTAGTTATCAACCTTCTATGGATATAATGACACAACGATGATTATGATCGTGTTAATGACCATAATAAGTAACGATGATAAAAATGACATTAGCGATAAACTCATGGATTTCAAAATAGGAAAGAAGTTCTTGGCTGTGATTTCTATTGAATCATTTTTTCAAATCTCTTGCTTGCCTAGTTGTCAACTATATTAGCCCTAGATTTATTTAGTTTAGTTTGATAAAAAAATCATCAATGATATATTGTAAGAGTCATACAGAATTGTAGATTATTGATCTAACATGACTAAATGTTTGAACTAGATAAAAATCATGGAATCCAATATGAGAATCGAAGTAAGAAATGAAAACAACATGTAGAGAAGAAAGATACCGAGCCAGTGGGGGTGGGAGAGTAGGGGTGAATTGTTGCAAGTGGGCGTTTCGACGAACGTGAAAGGCAGAAAAGCTGAGAGAGCATCGTGAAATATGAAATGGGGAAGCCTTGAAAGGAATCGATAGCTAACTACGCCACGCGGAAATGTTTTCTACGTCCTCGAGAGAATCAACTCTATTCTTGATCGCCATTGGGCTTCGGGCAACGATCTAAAATCTACATTATCGTTTTCTCAACCACCCCCTTACCCTCCCACAACAAATTTCTCCTACCTATACCTTTCTAACTCATCAACCCTAATAATTGACATGACATGACATGATATGATAATCATATAATATTGACATTAAAAATAAATACGTCAAATAATTGCAATAAAAATCTAATAATACAAGAAATATTGCAATATTTCAAATATATTAACAAATATTATTATTTTATATGATTATTATAATCATATAATACTAATATTAAAAAAATGAATATGTCAAATTAAAGAAAAACTTTGAGATTTTATCTTATCTACAAATTCGTAATATAATACGTTATACCTAATTTATAAATAAGTAATAAGAGTTTACTGTAATCTCAGAAAAGGGTCGAGGACACAAGTAAAAAAATAAAGGAAAGATATTGCAAAAGAATGAAATTTTCTAAATAAAAAGAGAAAGATGGAATAGAAAACCGTTGGTTTCGTTCATTGTACTCACAAGAGTTCAGGTACTTCATGGAACATAGAATGAAATGCTCCGATGAACGAGAATGAAAGAACGCCTACGTTATTTTTCTATACAGAGTGTTACAAACTATTTAACTATCGCAAGAAATAATATCGTTGTTTAAACAAGATTTTTCAAAAAATACATTTTATAACAATAAATTATAAATCCTATATAGGAAATATTGGATGATATCCCTGATCCTTTCATTATAAAATATTCCAATTACTTTCATAACAATCATAACAATTGTTATTGTCAATAATGCGTTGATTACAAGATTAACATTAATGTATTATAATCAACTCTTTTTAAATATAATATACAAAAATATATCTTATCAGAAAATAACTCAGCCATTCGATCATGGAGTTTGAAACCTTCGTATTCTCGATTAAAAGACTATTCCAAGGATAACGTGATCTATACAGAGTGGTACCAAGTACGTTAGAGAAAGGCCATCATTAAACAATGATTAAACTAGTTATACACACACACACACGTATACACATATAGTTTAGATACATCTAGTTTTTATAGTGTAATGTGAACTTTGTCTATTTATTATTCTTATGAAATTTATTTAAATGGAAGTAATAGAACAATCAATGAGATGATACACTGATTTGTTTGGAAAAATTAAAGAACGTCGAGTTAACAACATTCTAGAGATCAGTATTAGAACAATTCTAATAAAATTATAACATTGGTTGATTATTATATATATATATTACTAGTATTACAATTATTAAATGTATACTATTATATACCTGGTATTAGTTGTAAATATATACTCTATTAGTATATATATATTAGTAAAAATTTTTGACAATTTCATTAGCATTCGATATACAGATAAGAAAAATGAAAGTATAATGTTCACAAATGTATTTTTAATTAATGAAAAAACTATTTATAGAAAATTCTATCATATAATGTTATCCTTTTTATCTCAAGAATTTCCTAATGACATTTTAATGATTTTTCCAAAATCCTTCAACAATTGTCACTATTTGATAAATTTCTAAAGCAGCTGTAAAATTTTTCTATCCGAGTCACGTTAACTACGCTTTCTAATTTGATTGTTCTCGTTGAACGAGGAACGACCGATGAAAAGGTGAATACTTGAAAAACAAGAAAATCCCAAACAGAATCGTCGTCGTACATGTCGAAGGATGATCAAGAAACAATTGTCTCTTTTTTGAAATTTATTATTATTTATATTAAAGAGAGAATGGGAGTGAAAGGAAGATAAACATTTGTTCCATAAACATCCTATAAGTCAGAAAGATGGCAGTGGCCATGATGGCAGATGATCCATTTAAAGATTGATTAGTGACAGGAAAATAATTGTTCGCAACGTGAATAAACTACACAACAACAGGGTGATAAGTCAACAACATAAGTTTCCACATTTGCCAATAGATATGAAAGTAATAAGGAACGTTTAGTTGAGTATGACAAATGTGAAATTAGATCAACCTTCTGGTAGCAGCATTAATAAGTGTGAATGTAAGTGTGTAAGTGTATGACAGTAATAAGGATTGAAGTTAGACCAACCTTCTGGCCGCAGCGTTGATAAGTGTCTAGGAGCTTGATCGTCGAGGCTCGTACCAGGGTCTGCTGGTTCGGGCTACTTTTTTGCAGCGCATTATTGTTGTGCAGCGAGCTAAATGCGGTATTAGTACTGTTCACGGAATACCGCTGTGGTTGTGGCAGTACGGTATTGTCCAATTGATAATCGCCAGTCGATTGGACCAACCCGTGCTGGATCACCGGCTGGCTCACGTTGTACTCCAATTTGCGTTTTTTGCTATGATGGTGAACGGTGTTGTTACTGCTGCTGCTGCTGCTGCTGCTGCTGCCGTTGACGCTACTCGGCTGCTGTGTTTGGATGTACATGTCACACATTCGCTGTAACATCAAGAAAAATATCATTAATATCATCAGTTATTTCGATTAATTCTTTGCACATTTCTTTTTCTCTTATCCTATTTTTCCATACCTCCGCATCCTCCACAACTTCTAGCCTCTTAAGGTATTGTTTTAATCTGAATATCATGGGACTTAATTTTCTATGAGCATAAGTATGAAAATACGGTGGATCGAGTTCTCTCGATTGACTATGACCCATTGCGATTAGTTTAATGTCAAAACAAATTCACAATGAAAGAAATATTAATTTCTCAACTTTATTACTCTTTCCCGTACAAACAAAATGGAAGCCACAACGAAAGAAATATTAATTGTGTTCATGTAATTTCGTTTTCTCAACTACTATTTCCCGTATATAATATGGAATTCACACGAATTTCATGACAAATTAATCACTTTCTAAATACTCTTCATCATCGTTAACTTCTAATTACTTTTCTCATAAGAAAGAAAAACTTCAGAAAGAATGAACGCCGTAATGGACGCGTACACCTCAATATCCGAATTCGAACAACCCTATTAATACGTAGGAAGATGTAACTTAAATGAAACATTGGGTCGACGTATCCAGTGGACAGTTTTGAAAACTGACCAATGGGATTTCAGCATCTTTGTTGTGAATTCAAGATTGAGTAAATAACGAAAAACAAATATTAAAAAATGTTGTTATAAGTCCAGCAAAATATAAAATGTAAAACTAAATGAACTATTTCATGTATTTTATTTTTTTTTATCTATTTCTTTTTATTTATTTCTTTTAATTTATTTCTTTTTATTTTTATATGTTTTATACTATATTTCATAACCATAGAATCCGGAAGTGACGTTAGTAACATCAAAAAATAGGTTAATGTTTTTAAAAAGGAAAGGAATCTTCGAGTTTGCTCAAATTCTTGACGAATTTCTTAATTTTTTCGAATAATTCGAATTTCTATCAAATGGGAAAAGTAAAATCGGTAATTGATTAAAAAAAAAAAAGAAAAAAAGGAAACGCTGTTAGCGCCGAATGTGGTATACTATCTTAGGTGTCTGGATTCGAGATTTATGGAAATAACCCTATACGTTAGCAAAGTACCCCATACCAAATACCCTATTTGCACAATACGCGTCGAGAGATCGCACATTTTTCGTGTTAGTTATATGTCTAGTAATATTATTAATTCAAGAATTTCTCAATTATCATTGAGTTCATTTTCGTCTGCAGTATTATTCGATTCATCCGACAACGGATCATCAAACAACGATAACTGGCAAGGTAACAAGAAAGTCTACTTTTATTTCGAAGTAATACAATTTTCCGTAGTGCTAATACACGTGCAGCATCGAAATTGCACTTTATTTTTAAGTAATTTTGTTGTTGATATTAACGATTTTTAATCAAAAGAAACAAAACAATAAAATTACATGTTCAGTATGGGATATTTGACTTAGTGCTATAATAGCATATATTCGTCATATGTAAAATACGTGGTATTTTATGGAAAACCACTATTGTTGCACGTTGTAGCAAAAGGCTAAAAATGAGACATCTCATCACCCCTACTGAAATTGAATTAAACTAACCTAAAAAAATGCAATGTGTTAACAACTTTCTCTTTTTTTTTTTTTTTTTTAAATCACGCGTTTAACAATAAAAAGAACTCTTCAAACGAATAAACGAAGAATGAAAACAGTTTTCAAATATAAATTTGAAAATGTGTTCGATTGTATCAAATTGTTCTAGAAAATTTTTGTTACTAATGTTGTTACACCTGCTGTAATTTAAGATTCACAAATATTGAATTTAAAATTTAATTTGCAAAATATAAGATATTATTTAATAATATCTTATTAAAATAGGACAACGTGTTAATTTGAATTAATTTGAATTAATTATAAAAAGTATCTTAGATAAATATGGAACGTTCGTAAATGAGACAGCGTAAGACATTTCTTTCTATTCGATGACTATATTTCGATAGGTCGGCCATTTTGTTAGTTTCATAAATTGAAACTTCAATATCTCTATTTATTATTTATACTTTATTATATATTTTCAATATATTACGAGTATTATACACTTTATGAGCATTATATTATTTTAAATGACCGCCATTCTTATAAAGGTAGCAACTCTTAAAATCACCATTAGGCGGTTTTCGAGAAGAAAAAACCAGAGTTATCGTTTTCTATCGTTTTCAATCGATCTATGAGATTTTGATTGATTTTATCTAAGTGTAGTAACAGCGAATATATTCGTATATAAATATATATAATAATTAACAATATATATTATGGCAATATGATATATGTATATATATGATCACCAAGCCGCCCTGGTGGCAGAAATAAGTATTGCTTTTTTGTTACTTTTTTTTTATGGGACACAATTTATAATAAATTTTCTATAGAGTTCGTTCTTCTTATTTTCTAACTCCGTGATTAGAACGAATGGAAATCAATTCTAAGGGAGAAATAGTTGTTGTTGTTGTTGTTGTCGTTGTGGCTTGGATGAAACGTAACTGTAACTAGCTTGATACCGTAAATCGTTATTACAGTAAGAAACGAGTACTATTTCTGACAGACGGCATTATAATTAGAGCATGTCGTACCCAATAGAACACCTATGAGGTTTACTGAAAAGAGTAGTTGTCAATTTTGATCATAATTTGAGATGTATTATTGAATTGTGATCAAAAGTAAAAGTCGCTTGGAAAAAAATAAAGCCTCAACAGTGCAAACATTTAGTAGATAGAATATGTAAAATCTTTGAGAACATTTGATCAATTGTTTGAGTTACTGTATATGCAATATTAAATATATGTAAAAAAAATATAATATATATATATGCAATATTGAAAGTTGTTGCAATGGTATTTAAAAATCGTGTAAACATAAGTAAAACACTTTTGACGCGACTAAAATAATGAAAATAATGTTACTTATTTGATGACAACTATAACAACGTCGACGACGAAGACAACAAGGACAAAGACTGACATATAAACATTATTAAAATACACGTAGTAATAATAAAAGATCAATTTTCACCTGGGATAAAATGATCACTTGTGTTTCTGATAATATTTCTATAAACTTAGAGTTTTAGTTTGACTTCTTCTTTTAATTAAATCACAATTACTGCACGAAATAGTTCAAATTAATTCAATTAGCAATCACTAAGTATTAATGTGTGTGTGTGTGTGTGTCTTGTTTCCAGTCGTTGCATAATTTTGTGAACAAGTTATAACACGTTTCATAAAGTAACACTTTTGTTTTGTAATTTAATCTCGAAATATATCGAAATACGTATGTACAATTTGTAACTGGTAGGAAGAAATATTTTGATCAATTACAAATAATTTTCTATCGAAACTAATTTCGAGAGATCGCATATTCTTTTTTTTTTTTAAGAAATTATCATACTATCTATTATACTATGTATTAATACGTTTTATGTAGAACGTAAGCTTAAGTTTCAATAAAACACTTACTAATGCTTGTTCTTTTTTTTGCATTGTCACTAATTTTTTTTAGCAGGAATGATGTTTTTGGTTGTATTTTGTAAAGCCTTGACAAGTGTTTAGTCATAAATTAATGAATTGTTAAGAAAACCTAATAATTTGATGAAATGTACTATTTTGACAATGTAAGTTTCGTGCTTTACAAAGAGTAGCATCAAATTCAGTTGATTTTACATAACTCTAATAACATTTGACGCTTCCTTTAAAATTTATCCTGAAGCTATTGTGGCGCCCCCCAAATTGAGTGCATTTCGATGGACACTTTTCATATACTTTTTCATAGTAACTGGAAACCGAAAAAGTTAGAAGATGCGAAACTGCAGGAGTTATTGGACGAAGACCTAACCCAAAACTCAAAAACAATGTGGCCCAAGAAACGATTAGCGGCCGATTTTTTTTTTTCATTTTCTTGAAAATTACGTAGTTTTTTTCCAAAACAAAACCGGTAATAATTTTCCGGTACACATATGTATATGTTTGTAATTGCTGATTTTGCGTTCCCCCAATTATTTTAGATTAAACAAAAGAATTTGGCCCATAGAAGGTTAACACGTTGAGCTCCACGCGAATTCTTAGGGAAATTCGCATCAGGCCACAGGCGTAACTTCGTATTGAAAAAATAGTTGAGTGTCAGTCACCCGTGATGGACGTAGCCTAAACGGAAAGTCTAGTGTCAGCCACCGATGGCTGACGTGGCACTTCTTGTCGTGTTAAAATAAAAATGACACAAAGATAGGTAAAAAGAAAGAAGGAAAGAAAGAAAGAAATCTGAATCATTATGAAATAAAATTGAATGGAAATGGAACGAGAAAAAATGCATGTTTTTGCAAAGGTAAAAGAGAAAAGAGAGAAAGAGAGAGAATTGTCGATGAGTCACGAGTTCGAGTGCACGCGAAAGGAATAACGAAAGTCGTTTTTATATTTCTATCTTTCTCTTTCTCTCTCTTTAGTTTTGTTACTGCCGTTAGTGGCTTCGATGTGTGTGTCTGTGTGTGTGTGTTGGTGGGTTATAGCTATACTTGAGAATATAGATGGGGGATATAATGTATTGTTCGATGAGTCAGTTACCGATCAATGAGTAAATCAGGAAAAGCCAAGTGTGTTAGGACCCACGTGCAAAACTTTTGCTTACCTTTCTAAAGAATAAATAAAATAAAAGAAAAAAATTAAGTTAAAAGAAAAAATCCAAAGATCTCATATATTGACCATAAGATAATAAACCTTAGGAGGGTTCAAAAGGTCAAAGATGACCCCATGAAAATCAATTTCTTCTTTTTATTTTTGAAACTTCAAATTCGTTCAACTTACCCAATAATTTACATTGGTATAATAATTTAATTTTATTATAGTATAATAGTTTTAGTTTATTATATTTTTTCTAATTTTATTATAATAATTTATATTTGTTATACTCAATTTAGAATATAATAAAAAATAACTTTGTTTTTTTTTTTTATGCACATGTATTTGATTAAT